AAAATCAGCAGTACCTCCTTCCGAGGGCCCCACCCCAGCAATGTGCTTGGGAAACCAAGATGAAAGAGAAAGGCATTTCTAGGAAGTTTACTTATTTGATGGCTCCTTTGTCACGTCTCCTTTCCCTGTCCTGTGGGCTAGAGAGGATTTTTTGAGGCCTTCCCAGCTGCTCTTATCAGGGCTTTCAGGAAGAAAAAAATCTCAGATCTGGTGAATTACATCAGTCTTGTTTCAGCCTATGAAGGTGACATGGCTTTCCTATCAAGAGAAAGCCAGAGAGAATGCCCTGTACTCAAAGCCACTGCAAGAGAAATGGGGAGATTTCTGGAGGCGAGGACACACCAACAGCCCTCATTTCCAAGGGGCCATAGGATTTTTTTAAATGGAAAGTAAATCTGAGACCTTCTCCCAATGTAAAACTTCAGTCCATTTTTCTCTCCTCGTCAGTTCTGCAGTTTCTTGGAGAGGCATTAGGGAGGGTCCCCTTCTGGTTAAACAGCACCATCTGTGCGAGCACTGCACTATTTTTAGCTGGGAAAAGAGTCATTAATTCGACAAGGGCTTATTTGGAAAGTCACCAGAACTATATGAGCGCTGCTCCTTCGGTGTCGCTAATGACTGGGTCTGAGCTTCCTTTACCAGTCATCCTCATTTCTCTTTGCACATAACACTGTATGTATTTCTAATGAATGCTTTGCTCTGCTCTAAATTTGTGTTTTAATGCAGCTAAGAAAAGTCAACAGAAATGATTCTTTAGTATTAAAGAGGGGGTTGTTCTACCCCCTTCTCCTCCCCCCAAAAAATTTTATACCCAGGCTAGCTGTATAAAACATTGACAGCCCAGATGCCCTTAGCTTCGGTTTTAAAATGATCACCCTGAAAAATTATGAACACTATCATCACTGTATTTTAAAGGGCCCAAAAAAGACAAGTGAGGAGTACCAGCACGGGAATCTGATGGCCCCGTGTGGGCTTATTTGGCACATGTCCCAAAGACAAGCTCTGCAGTGGCAGTGGGCAGGTGTCACTTTGTGTTTTCGGCACCGGGGCAGACTCATTCTCCGTTTGATCTCCAAGCTTTGCATTTAGATTTTCAAGGGCCAATGATGGCGCCCCCAAACAGAAGCACCCAGCAATTCCACTCCTAGGCATAGACTCAAAAGAATAGAAAGCGGGCACTCAAGCTAAGTGCACAACATGTTCACTGTAGCATTACTCATAGCAGCCAAAAAGTGGAAACAGTGTCTGTCAGCAGATGAATGGTCTCTGCATAAAACGGAATATTATCCAGTCAAGAGAAATGAAGTTCTGATATAAGCCACACATGGATGAACCTTGAAAATAATATGCTGAGTGAAATCAGCCATACACAAAAAATCAAGTAATGTCTGATCCCATTTACATGAATTGTCTAGAATAGGCAGAGACAGAAAGAAGAGTGGTGATTGCCAGGGGCCCAAGGGGAGGAGCTCTGATGGTGTGGAAGTTAAGGCATTCGGCTGTTAACCAGAATGTCAGTGGTTTGAACCCACCAGCTGTTCTGCAGAAGAAAGACGGGGCAGTCTGCTTCCATAAAGATTTACAGCCTCGGAAAACCAATGAGGGTTGCTATGAGTCAGAATCAACTCCATGGCAGTCACTTTGTTTGGTTTTTTTTTTGTTTGTTTGTTGGTTGGGGGTGGCGAGGAGCTCAAAGGAGAGGAGAATGGGGAGCTATTGTTTTATGGGTATAAACTTTCTATTTGGGGGGATAGAAAAGTTTGGTAATGAATAGTGCTGCTGGTTCCACAATACTGGGAATATAACTGATACCACTAAAATGTACATTTAAAAATAGTTATAGTGACACAGTTTGTGTAATAGGTATTTTACCACAGTTAAGAAAAAAAAAAAAAAGGTACAAGAGTGCATGTCACCCCTGTGTCTGCTGGGAACTGAGACCTGGAGCCTCTGAGACCCACTCTACACGTTCAAAGTGTTTCAGAAGTTGAGGAGGGAGGGTGATTGCAAGCAGTGCACAAATACAGCACATTCATGCCACAGATGAACAAGTCGGGGACCAGCTCAGGGTTATTCAAACCTCTCTCCTAGAGTTGTCCTTGGTACCCTCCGGGGCCCTCTCAGCACATTCCTAAGAATGAGCAGTTTCTTTTTGCTCGGGATTCGATGCTCTGCCCCAGTCACTTCCTGGTGTTTCTGGCCCCCAGAGCAGAGTGTTAAGGTTATGTGCAGAGCCAGTGTTCTGGGCGGTGAGTCCTGCTCAACAGAACTGTCTCAGGGAAGGCCTGTCCTGACCCCGGGCCTGACCCCTTGCCCTGGCCTTTTGACATTCAGAGGGTTCCAGTGCTTGGTGCTCAGCCTTTGAGTCACTGTTTGTGCTGAAGGGACCCATGTGTCCATCTCGGTTTTGTTTGTGTGTTTGATAGTTATTTTATTGGCCGTGTGTTAAGAGATGGAAATCATTGCTAAACAGGGATTAAATTATTGTTCTGATTACAAAGTATATTTTTCCTCACCATAAGTATAATATTTTAGCTCAGTGATAAAAAAATAATAATTCACCAGTTAGTTTGGTAACTCTTGCAGTACACACAGATTGCTGCTTGAAGAGGCAAAGATTTAAACAATGTACTGTAGAAAGTCTAATATTCATACTGAGAGTCTTACTAAATTGATATAACAACGTCCTGCTTTCAACTGAATTTTATTTAAGTCTCAGAAGCACTCACTCAGGTTCTCCTGTCCATTCCAACATTTGAGCCGATTCCAGCTGAGCACAGGACTTACTTGTAAGCCTGACTCGTACTCATTTAAATGCCATGTCTAAGGCTTATGGGCGGGCACATACGATCATACAGGCAGGCACTGGATTTTTTCAAGGTGAGAGCCTTCTCTCAGAGGTCAAGCTCTTATTAGTTCTGTGATGCTGATACTGTCAGTGAAAGTGTTTTTTATCGAAGAAAGTGAGGCTGTTGATGTAGGCATTAAAAATAACATGTATATAGTCACCTCACTAGTTTAAAAGTGAAGTTGTTTTAGTTAAAAAGTTGGAAGTTTAAGAGAACTTTCAGATTCTGCTCTAAGCCGTGGCAAATCCCACATTTGTGCTAATTGTGTGATAAGGATTGGCACGATTCCAGTCCCCAAAGTGTAGAAATGGATCCAGTCCTCACCCCGTCTCTTCTCCATCCTTGTCACAACTGCTCGTGCAGCACGCTCTCTCCTCAATCCTAACCACCCAGAGCTGGGCCAGAGCTCACAAGCTCAGTGGACATGACTTTTCAGACCGGCTGCCCACACAGCAATTCCCAGGCCCTTACAGGTTCGCTGAGTCAGAGTCGACTCAATGGCAGGGGCTTTGTGGTTTTTATAGGTTTGCTAGGAGTTGGAATCTATTTGACAGCACACAAGAACAAGCCACCCAGAGCTGGGTCACAGATTAGAAGGACACCTTCTTTCAGACTATCAAATAGGGGTATGCCAGCCACTCCTGCCTCTCACTGCTCCTGTGGGCACACTGATTCTCTGAAACGACTCACAGAGTTCATGGAGAGTATGCCATACTTAAAGCTACAGCTTCATTGCAATGAAAAAGGATAATACAGAGATATAAAATGTGAGGTCTGGGTGGGGTCAAAGGGTGGCACTTCCATGTCCCAGGGAGGGACGAGCCTCTCCCATGCATGGTCACCAACCGAGAAGATCCATCTGAGCCTCAGGGTTAAGCACTCCCATCAGATTCAGCATGAGGCCTCGAGAGATGACGTCATGCCTTCCCAGGCCTAGTCAGCATTGGCCCCAGGCAGTCGCTCTTGGCCTGTCAGCCCTCACTCATTAGCTTCAGGTGTTGGTACTGCTCAGAAGACCTGAGAACAAAGACCAAATGGTCTTCTGTGAGCTGATTCCCCAGCTTTCAGGTTGGCAATGTGACTTTCAATATTTCTATTAGTTTGCTCTATTTTTCTGTGCATCTATCTATAGGTAACTGTGTGTAATTGGATTAGTGAAAAACGCACTGAGTTTTGCTTCTAGATATAGAATATCTGCTTCATTTCCCTCAACTAAATTTGTGTGGTTGTTTTGATGTTAAATAAACATACCTACATGAAATTAAATTAATGCAGTTTGTGATAAGCACACAAACGTTGCTTTCAAAGATTAGTGATATGGGTTTTTTTTTTTTTTTTAATACCCTTGACCCCGTCAAGAACTCAGTATCTCTTGACTCAAATGCTCTGTGTCTGGCCAGCAGTTTCTGTGGTCTAGGATAATGACATAGAACAAGCTCAGACTAGATGAGGGACGCTCACCCGTCGTCTGCTTTTTAGAGTTGTTTGGCTTCTTTTTTGACTTCCTGATTCACCTTGACACAAAGCTTTGACACTTCTCTGTGATGGGAAAGACAGTTGTGACCGTCCTCAGATGTTCCGTCTGGTAGGACTACAGTTCTTTCCGTTTCCTTTATACCCAGTGATGCTTTGTGTCTTTCCAGGTTCCACCGTTTGGCATCCCGACTGTAAGCAGTCTACCAAGACAGAGGAAAAGCTGCGGGTAAGGAAGCCAGTAGAGCCATGACACCCAGGCACATTGGCAGCCCATGCGTTTTCGTAGTCACAGATTCTTGGGGCTCGAGTGTGGGCGGAGTTCATTTTTCATGACTTTTTATTTTCCCATAGCAAACCAACTTGTAATGCAGGGTTCCTATTTGCCTTACACTTATTGTCATAATTTTTGTTCCAGGTGCTTTCCTTGGACAAAATAGGCCTAGCCTCACTAGTCAGATTTTTAGAAATATATTCAAGTGAAGAGGCAAACCATACAAGTCATACAAATGAACCATCAGGTTCCAAGGTCAGCATCTGGTGACCTTCTAGCCAGACTTTTTGCATAAGTACTTAGTCCCTAATACACCTCTCCGACGCAAGCTCCGTATTGATCCCTCAGTACTCCGTCCATAATGCACCACTCCAACCGAAACTCCACATTCTTCCCTCAGCTCTTGGTGCACTTAACCAACCTCTCAAATCCAAATTTGTCATAGTAGTTCCCATCTAGAAGCTGGTCGTTTGTCAGGTAACACTTTTGGGAGGAATAATGAGGAGGCCAGACATAGCAATGTGAACAAACGTCCTGAATGGCTTTGTAACTTGACTCTTAGATGACATCAGAATGTTTTAGGAACTGTCTTAGAGCACTGACCATGTGGTAAAAAGACAGACCGTCTTCATCTCTCACATGTAAAGCCTTCTCATAGTCTTTGTCAATTCTCAGAACACCTATAAGCTAACAATATTTTATCCATTTCAGAAGCAAAGAGCTACACAGTTTGTTTGTTTTTTAATTGTGATTTGGGTGAAGATTTACAGAGCAAATTCACTTTCCATACAGCAGTGAGCTACACAGTTTTAAGGTTAAGATCTTAATCTGCACCCTGCTCAGACACCCCCATTTTTTTCCCCTCAACTATGAAGTGTTTTTCAGAGGATTCATCACACTGATTCCCAGTCCACAGTGCCTCAGTTTGATTAACCTCAGGCTACTTGTGGGGAAACTGGAGTCTGCTTCATTTTATGTTTCTGGGCAAGAGTAGCCAGGATTTGTTATGGTGGCCAGATTCTAGCATATGGTATAATTCCTTCTTGGTCTGCCATTGGCAAGTATGAAGAGCTATTTATGTAACCGCACCACCACCACCACCACCACCACCACTACTTACTATTGGGGCCTTGTCGCTAATACAAGACTTATGAATGTGTGACTTGGCTTCAGAAAATGACCACCAGTGAGATGCACTTGCTCTGACGTTTTTTGGATCCCATTTTCAGCCACCTGGGAATTTCAGCTGCTATTTTCCAGTGTCTTGCTTTGCCCCTCCTTCATGGAATACATGTGCGCACAGGAGTTCCTTGGCTTTTTTCTGTTTTCTCTTCTTCCTTTTTTTAACTGGCACCCATAGGATCAGATGAAGACATTGTGCCATTTAGATATTTGGGAAACTTTTCCTTCTCTGTGACCCTGAACAAAAGCATTTCTCTTAGAGTTCACAATTAAATACAAAAGCGTTATTTTAAGTGGAGAAAAAGTCACTTTTCTCAGAATAATTGACTAAAGACAAAGTTGTCCACCAATGTTAGGGATGGTTTTGATCTGTTTCTGACTTTCAGCTTCAACTCGAGCACATGTCCACACACCTGAAGTCCATCAGCCGGGCAGGTGTGCACTGGAACCCTTGCCCATGTTTGGGCTCTAGACTCTGGGAGTTTTGAGGAACCACTGGTCTTGGGGAATGGGTTATCTTTTAAAAAATACTAGAATGTTAACGTTGGTATGGATTGACACTTTAATTGTAAGAGTGTAAAGTTCCTACCACAGCTTGGGCGTGCTGCCCAGAAGCTACCCAAGTAGTTGGTGATTGGCACTAGCCCTACAGTGTTGTTGTTGTTGTGGAATAATCATTTTTACTTTGTCCCTGATGAAGACTTCTTTTCGGGGACAAAGAAAGGTATGCTAATGAGGCCAGACTAAATGGAATATATTTTTCTCCTCTAGAAGGATTCTTGAATTTTCAGACCTGGCTATTATGTTTGTTTGTTTGTTTTTTAAATTTTATATTTTTTTAAGCATCCGTACTCTTGATAGCGTCTTGATGGAACTTTCTGGATGAGCTTACAAAAACAACTAGTGAAATATTTTCATGTATTCTGGCCAAGAGGAGTTACTGTTTTCTTCCTTTATTGAAGCTTTCCAGAGAATTCCAAAGCTCTCTTCCTAAACCCAACATGGACTACTTGGGAGGCCGGGTCAGCCCTCGGGCCCACGCTGAGGAGCCCAGTAGTAAAGGGGAGGATGCATCTTTGAGGAAAGAGGTCCCGATGTGCCCTGAGCAGAGGCATGTGCTGACACTGGGGGGACCTAACGGGGGTAGGTTTGGAACGAGGGAAGTAAGTCTTGTACTCTCATAAGGGTGTGTCTGCAGATCACTGAACTTGAGCCCAGATTTCCAGGCCTTTCACTGGGTGTCACTTTAGTACAGTTTCCATAGCAAAATGAAAATGTTTTAGGACTCTTTGAGCAGCCCCACTGAGTAATGCACATTCTTGGTACTGAACAACTGTCCGGGAGTGTGTAACAACAGACTGAAGGATGTCTCTCAGTCGGCTGCATTGGCTTCTTGCTCTTCATGTGTTGTAAGAAGGTCTAAGCCAGAAGACATGGAAAGGCCTCATGGGGGTGGGGCTGAGGAAAACATCCCGTAACTTGAGGGTCCATTAATATGCTTTTAAACATGGACTGGAAACTGACCCCCACACACTCCTTAGCTGAAGTGAGGCCTCTTGGCATTTGCTACCCAGTTAAGTGTGACTAATTAGGGTTTTGCTTTGTTAATGGCATTTCTGAACTGAGGATATTTCTCTGTTTATTCTTCCCTTTCTCATGTTTCACCACAGCCGCCAAACCCTCACCGCTCTTCATCCGATTTCTTTTACCCCAAAAGTCTGATTCGACGCACAGGCCGATCGCCATCTCTGCAGGTTCGCGCTGAGGCCTGGCACCGCTGTCCTGGGCCTCAGGCTTCGGTGGCTTTTCCTGCTCCTGCCGCTTTCCCCGCATAACTCGTCCGGCTGCTGTGGAGGGCACCTGCTTTCTCTCACCCCACGGCGTGCACTCACCTGATTCTGGCTTTTCCTCCTCTGATTGGTCGGTGTTTGCCCTTAGAGAGTGGCTAATGCTCCGTCATTGTCCAAGGAAGCACAGTAGAAGCGGCTGTCCTTCTGTGTTCACTCCTTTGTTCATTCCACAGACATTTGTCCAGCACCAAGGTCCAACGACTGTGCCGAATGCCACGGATCTAGACCAAGAGGGAAAAAGAAAGATAGGCAAATATTTGTAAAGTGGAGTAGACACATGTCACAGGTTAGATGGAGCAGGTCTTTGGAATGGCAAGGGAAAGGGGTTCTCCAGGGGCACTTCACAAGAAGTCTTTGAGTGAAATTTGGAGACTGAGGGAGATTTGAACATGTGGGTGGAGAGGAAGAGAAAAGGGGTGGGCCTGGTGATAAGAGTAGCAGATACACAACAGCCACTGGGTGTAGCTGAAGAGTGGTGTGGGGAAGTGAGGAAGGGAACAGGTGAGGCCAGGCAGTGACTCTGTGCTGCCGGGTGACTCGCGTGCGCCCCCTCAGCTCTCCCAAAGATCCTCGTGAGGGAGCGGTGCTTAGTCCCATTTCACAGATGCCGAAACTGAGACCCATCTAGTGAAGCACCTTTCCCAGAGTTACCTGCCAGTGAGTGGAAGAGCTAGGATTGGGATCTAGGTCTTAGTGAGCCCACAATGCACGTTCTTTCCACTCTACCACGCGGGGAGTCATGATCGAGAAATGTGGGGAGACAAGTAGAGGAGAGCTTTGAAAGCTGGCCAACTCTGTTGTCGGGCAGAGCCACTGCTGGCGGTCAAGGAGCAGAGCAGCATGACCTGCCGAGGGCGTCCTCCAGGAGGCACGTCGCCCACTTATCAGATGAGCAGGGAAACGGGATGACATCCCATACACACAGAATCCATTGAAACCTTGACCTGCTTGACTACTTCCCACAATCCACCTTTGCCCAGATGTAACCCATTCTGCCCTGTGATGAGGATTCCAGATTTAACACAGCACCGAGGTCTGGTCTGTGGACCCACATCTCTCTTCGGTGCCTAACAGCTGCGTTAGACTGGGAAGACCTTTTGTTTTTATGTCGTTTTGTTCAAACTTCACCTTCTTTCTTAGAAATTATTAAAAAGACGCTTGGAATACGGAATTTTAGAATGGAGAGAAACCTTGTAGAGGTCAGCCCCCTTAGGTTCCCGTCTATAGGGTGAGCTGTAGAAACCCCAGGTGGCCCAGCTCAGGCACAGAGACAGAACCAGGCTCAGGTCTCTGGCCCCAGGCCCAGGGTGCCTCCCGCGGCCTGACTTGCTGGGCTACACTCTAACTCCTACCTGTCGTCTGATCCTCATTCCACTTTCAGCATCTCGCTGCAATGGCAGGGTTTTCACGTACAGCAAAATGGTGTTCTCATGAGTCCAGAGGAGCTACTAGAACAGAGGTCGGCCACGCTGCAGACAGGTGGCACTCAGGATTAGCGCCACTCTTTGATGAGCGCTTGTTTTGCCAGTAATTCTTAGGTATTTTTAAGGAGCTCTGATGGCACAGTGCCCGAGGCATTTGACTGCTAACCAGAAGTTTGGCAGTTCAAATCCATCAGCTGTCCTACAAAAGGAAAATGAGATTATCTACTTACATAAAGGTTTACAGCCTTCCCACACCTGTGGCTTCCAGCCAAACAAAAGACGGGCATAGGAGTTGAACATGTACCTGAGGTAGATGCACTCCTTGGAGAGAACAGTCATGGAAGAAAGAAGGACTGTTTATGCACAGGTCAGGGGGCAGGAGTGCATGGAGGGATGGACACAGGGAAGAGGTGACTATCGGGCGGAAGTGGAGGGGAGCTGTTGCATTGTGGTAAATTGTAGTCAATGTCATGAGACAAAATGTATGTGAGCTGCTGTATGGAAAGTGAATTTGCTCTGTAAATTTTCACCCAAATCACTATATATACATATAGATAGATAGATAGATAGATACAGATATAGATAGATATATGGATATATATATATATATATATAAGATTTACAGCCTTGAAAACCCAGTGAGGGGTCGCTGTGAGCCAGAATAGACTCAGTGTCAGGGGTTTGGTTTTGGTTTAGGTGTTTCTAAAAGTATATAACTCAAGTAGTGTTAAATTTTGTTAGCCTAAGGATACAGCTAAATGATGATGTATTTCTGTGGTTTGAAAACAAATACCGTAGGGCGTGAAGTTTTGATTTGCTGCAGACCCTTAGGTTCAGGTGATATGAAGCAGCTTGGGAAGTGGAGAAGGAGAGAGGGGGTGGGGGCTGTTTCTAATAACTTCTTGCTTCTCCTGTTGTTCAGAAGGGACATCTCATTCCCGTTATTCTGCCATAAATAAGTATCAATGAAGTCTACATTAGCTCTATCTCAAAAGTCGTAAACAGCTTGGGGGCTGGCAGGGAAAGGGCTGCTTGGCCAGGTCTCCCCTCGCCCATCCGCCCATTCGGAACCTTTAAGAAGCCTGAAAACTCCCCAGTGGTGCAGTTCTCAAGTGACACAGATGTTTGGAGCTTTTCAGCGCTGTGACCTACACAGCAGCTCATTGTCACCAGCTAAAATCGTTGTTGTTGTTATGTGCCGTCGAGTTGGACCTGACTCATAGCTGCCCAACCTTCCTTCCGAGGAGTGGATGGTGGGTTTGAACGCCCAGCCTTCTGGTTAGCAGTCAAATGCCTTAGGCTCTATGCCACCAGAGCTCCTACCTAAAATTAAACACCTGTAATGATTCAGTAAACTGACCATGCTCCTCATGGGGACATTCAGTGCTCTGCTCACAGAGATAAGTCTTGGTTTTGTTGGGAAGGGAGTCAGATTTGTCAGGTTTGTTGGAGGAAGGTCACTGTATTTGTTTAAGTGCTGAGAGTAGATCTTTTCCTCTTGCTTGAATCACAAGGTGCCTTCTTTCTTTACTTTTTTAATGACAAAAATAATATTACCTAAGAAAAACAGAGGAGCTCTGGCACATAGTGCCTAAGGCAGTTGACTGCTAACCAGAAGGCTGGCGGTTCAAACCCATCAGCTACTCCTTGGAAGGAAGGTTGGACAATCTGCTTCCGTAGTGATACCCCCTCGGAAACCCAAAGAGGGTCTCTATGAGTCAGGGCTGACTCAACAGCATATAACAACACCAACAAGAAAAACATGTTCCTGTTTCACTGACTCAGAATACGTTTAAATAAATAGAAAATTTTGCCTATCCATACAGTGCAACACTGACTATTTATTACAGATAAAGCACCTGGTATTCCCAGGACCAAGTCTGTAAAAATCCCAGTAGATGACTTGCTGTCACTCTAACCGAGACTTCTCTGCTGCCTTTGGTGGCTAAAGCATGGATTGACTGCCATTTAAAATGTGCATGCATTTTTTTTTCTTTTGAAACTAACACTCATCTATTATAAAGTATATATTTGCAAATGTATAATGACCAAACAAATATCCCATGTACATTTAAAGAGAGGAACTAATTAGAGGCTTTATGTGTATCTTGAACTAGGAAATGTTGTTGCCTATTATTTCATTCATATCATTAGGATATATACTATATTATTCACAGCTTTGACTTTGTTCCAGCATTTTTTTTAATTTTATTATGATTTAGGTGAAAGTTTACAGAGCATATTCATCTTCCATACAGCAGTTCACATACACTTTGTCTCATGACATTGACTGCAGTCTCCCATAATGCTACAGCTGTCCTCTCACTTCCTCCCCATAGCCGCCTCTTCCCTGTGTCCTTCCTCCCATGCACTCCTGCCCCCCAAGCTGTCTCCCTGTGCATACAAAGCTCTTCCATTCTCCCATGATTGACCTCTCCAAGGAGTGCTATCTGCCTAATGTAAATGTTCACCTCATATGCCTGTCTTTTGTTTGGCTGGAAGCCACAGGAGTGGGTTCACTTCCAGACTTGAAGGGTAACTAGGGGCCATAGTCTCAGGGGTTCCATCAGGCTCTATTAGACCAGCAAACCTGGTCCCTTTTATTGTGTGTGTGTGATTTTGTGTTTTGTTCCACATTGTTCTCCCACTCTATCCAGGATCTCCTATACAGATCCCCCTCCAAGTGGTTGACAGTGGTGGCCGGGCACCATCTAGTTCTTCTGGTCTCATAGTCCTATAGGCTGAGGATCACATGGTGTACCAGTCCCTTGGACTAATTGTTTCCATGTATCTTTTGTTTTCTTCATTCTTCTTTGCTTTGGATGAGGAGAGACCCATCGTTGCATCTAGATGGCTGCTTGTAAGCTTTTGAGATCCCAGTTGCTACTCGCCAAAGTAGGATGTGTGTTCCAACATGTTATCCTCTCTGATGTGTCTTTACGATTCATTAGACTCTCAAATGTATTGGTGTTAAGATTTATGTTGGAAAGAAGTCAAGGCCTCTTGGCCATAGTAAAGGCTGATAACATTTGTGAAACTGTCCCTGGAGAAGGGGTGTGTAAGAGTGAGGGCTCTCCTCTGTTTCCTCTCAAACACATATTCTTTGTTCCAAAGGGTTGATTTCACTCTTGTCTTAGTTAGCAACGTACTGTAGATTCTGAAACTCCTCCCTCCTTGGCAGCTGTTATCACCACTTTGTCTACTGAACATCACCAAAAACCCAAGGCAGGTACTGTCAGCATCAGCACAGTCAGTATAAAGGTGCCATCTCCTTTTGTCAGTTGTTGTCTCATGGATATTCATTAGACCTTTCTGATCTGCTTGGCACATATCTGTAGTTTCTCTCTCCTACTTAAAACATAAGGAACTCTGGTGGCACAGTAATTAAATCATTTGGCTGCTAACCAAAAGGTGGGCGGTTCAAACCCACCAGCCACTCTATGGGAGAATGATGAGGCAGTCTGCTTCTTTCAAGATATA